GACCACGAGTGCCCGTGTCGGTCAACCAATCACTTACCGCGGTACCCCGCGTCATCTTGCGTCACGATGCGCGACGCCGTAGCCAATTACCTCCGGTACGTGTCTGTACCGCGCACTTTGAATGGCTGCATCTGTACAATATGATAATGTACAGATATTGCCATCTTTATGACAAAGATGTATTAGTATTGCCACACTTTGCACTAACTTTATGTTAAACATATATCCTCCAACAACTCTATACCACTTCCTGTAATAACTACCAGATCAATAACAGTGAATTTGATCAGGTAGTAAATCCTGGATTATGCTAATGACATTGGAGGAGTTTACATGTAATGGTACTGGCACTTTAGTGGGTGTTCTGTATCCTCAATCACAGTTTTGTGCCATAAAGAAACATCCGAAAGGGATAATTCCACAAACATGTGAGAGTGAGTAAAACAGAAAATCTACATTATTTTTTCAAACAATGGAAAAGATCTGTCGACAAACAACAGTGTATTATTTTCCCCATCTACTGTAGGAAACTCGAGAGCTCTATTTTGCAAAAGTAAAATGCTTCTTGTTTATTTTTGCCCACCAATTTGCTAGAAGAGGTTTTTTTTGCTTGCCCAGCTCTCAGTGTCAACTTAAAGGTTCCAAACAAGATGCATGGGAATGCTGAAAAGAAATAATTCATAGTGTAGTACACACACTCAGATAAAAATACAGTGAAACTGTTAGAGAAAAGTAGTGAGGACCCTATGCAGAAAACTAGGGTGATCTCCGAAGGTGTAGTCTATAGAACAATCCGAGGTCTGAAAGACGAAGATAAACAAGCCGGTGCAAAAGTACAAAAACCAGAAGCAGAGCTGTAAGCCATGAGGAAGCCCTGAGTCAAAACCAGAACGAGAACAAAACTATCAAAACCAAAACCAGGAGATGTAGTTGGACAAAAACCAAATAGTAAGTAATTAAGGAGAGTAGCAGTAGCTCTAGCCAGGAAAAACCTAATACTGAGCACAGGGGAGAGTGTGAAGCAGCATTAAATAGACTGGGGTAAATGGGTTAATTGGGAACTGTGCTGGAATGCAAGGTGGAATGACGAGTCCTCTGGGGGTGTTGCGTATTAGAAACAGCTGAGAATCTGAAAATCATACTACATAGCCAGTTAAAAGCTCCACTATTCATATGGAGGATATTGAATCTAATGTCTCTAGAGAGAATCATGAACTCCTTAAAGAAGCCCTGGAACAGACAGCCATGCAAGAGTCATATGCAGCTGAGGGTTACCAAAGGACACAAGAAAATCAAATGGACATGGAACATGTGAGTAAAGAGGACACTAGAATAAATTATCGAGGATCTGAACCACCTGAAAGTACTATGGAATCCCCCTCTATCACGGGTGATCAGAAAAGTTCTGAGAAGGAAAAGGGTGGTCAGCCTTAATCACACGATGGAAAGTCTCCAGTGAGTAAGTACACCACAGTTGCCCAGAGCACAAATCTGTAGAAATCTTTCTGACTTTCTGCCCATCAAAATTATGGACCTGAAGAGTCTGTGTAATAAGTCAAGTAAAGTGGAGAGAGCTAAAGCAGTGAAATGTATGTAATCTGGGATTTGTCATTCTTGCCTCAACAGATGACGCAACTAGGTGAATCAATCATCTGTACAAAACAGATGTGGAGAGGTCTAAGAACAAACAGACCAGAAAGATGATATAAAGAACCACTGATATAAAGATATAAAAAAGCCTGGAATTAACAACACGTAGCTAATCAGTATAGTTTACCTGTGCTAGAAGAGGAGGATAGGTTGGTTGATTTTCTTTTATATAAAATAAAAGAAGAATGATCATTAGACCCAGAGAGGGGTAGTGATAAAAACTTGTTTGTGTTACAAAATTGCACCCTATTGTGGGTCACAAATATTATATATAAGACACATACACATACTTAGTACTTTAAATAAGAAATAAAACTAGAAATATTTATTTAACTAATTGATTTCAAAGTCATACCTGGCAGGTGTCAACTCCTCCTTCATCATAGCCAGCACACAGCATCCTCTGTGTAATATTGTATTCAGGCATGAGCTGTTGGCACTCCTTATTGGTGACGAGAGGGAGGAATGCTTCCTGCAGAATATTTGCCACGGGTCCTGAATTTAAAATGATAATGCTCATCATTCTACAAGTATATTCTAGGCAATAAACATCAGAATAATTTGACCAAATAAATGGGAAAAAGGTTTTCCAGTTAAAAAGTTTAGGGTATGTGGAGTATTGTACCCTTGGAGATTTTCAGTCAATAAATTCCATCCATCCATATTTTTAACCTTTTTATCCAATACAGGATTGCTGGGGAGCTGAAGTCTATTCCTGACAAGAAGTCACTAAATTATTATTTTCCTTTAATTCACTAATTTAGAGTACCATTTTTATTAGATTTTAAGGACAACTTTTTGTTATCATACATTAAATGTTTTTGTTTGTACTGTAGTGATGTCACAAAAATAAAAGGGAATATTTATTTCAGTATACTTTTTACATTATTTCACATAATTTTGCTTTTAATGGATTTGGAAATGGTGGATTTTGCTTAAAATACAAATTCTGTTTTTTTTGCAAATGTGTTTATGTCCAATGTCAAACAAATAATAGATTCAGTCTACAACTGTGAAAATAATTTTATGAATCTCTTATTTTCATCCATCTTTCATCTACAGATGTAGCGATTCAGAATATGTGGTAAAACCCTGTAACACAGGAATGGGGCTGCAGGTTACTGCGATGTGATTCACGGGCCAAAAATGATTGAGAGGAGACACTTGTGGTGCATTAGATGTTAGTGAAACGATTGCTTCATTTCATCTTTGTAATGTGTATGTTTAATTCTGCTTAATATGAAATTTTACAACTAAAGGGACATTTTGGTAGCTGAGCATTAAAATAATAGCAGCATAACATCTTTGAATGTCAGAAACAAAATTAATTTAGGAACATAAATATATTATACATACTATATATAGCTGGTAATGATACCTAAAATAAAAAAAAAATACACAACAGTTTTCCACCTTATTCGTAAACATTTTATACATTGAAGTCTTTAACCTGATCATTTTCTGTACTTGTTTTGGAAAAGTTTTGACGTGTTTGTTCTAATGATAATAAGTTGATATACTTTATTCAAAGCTAGAATGTTTTAACTTTTCTATGAATACTTGCTGTCGTTATTCCCACTAAATAAATTAATAATTATTAATAAATTAACAATTTAAGGATCTAACTAGAATATATTTATATTGCTGGTAACATGACTGTATTCCAATTTCTTTGTAAAAGTCTGCATCAATTGTTTTTGACTCATTTACTCATGATTACTTTGGAAACATTTTGACCTCTTCGTTTCAGCTACATTTCTAAGCAGCGCCTTGTTGCAGTTGGACCAACAAAGACTCCTTTTATGAACTTATTTTTATGTATCACAACGTGTTTGATGTTAAATTATATTAAAAACATGAATGCAATGGGGGTAAAAACAGTTCTGGTTTAATTCAATCCAATTCAAAATACTTTATTAATCTCCATAGGGCAATTAAGTACAAGCCTTTACAACAAGCCTTAAATCAAAATTGATATTTTATTATAGAATTATAATTATAATCGAGAATAAGAAAGTGGTATTAAAAAGATCACTGAAACTGAACTATAATAATCTCATTATTATTCATATCATTAAATATAGCTTTCTCACCAGTTAGTTTTATTTGTGAAACCATCATTAAACAAAGCAGGAGCTTATTGTACTTCCTAAAGACATTATACACAGAATGATTATACATTTTAATCACGTTTTTATTTTTTTATAAATTTTAGAAAAGTGTCATCTATACTAATACCACAAACTATTCTCGATTGCATTTCTGAATGTTATGCCACACTTAGTTCAGCATTTTCCATACATCTAAATAAAAAAGTCAGATGTAAGCATAAACTATTAGTAATCAATAATTAATTTTAAAATTTGCACTGTAATACATTGTTGCACTTCTTCCACATTATTGATGTTCAAGACTTTGTTCAAATATACATTAAATCTATCAGAAAACAAGTAAAATACAAACTTATAAAATAAAAAATGAAGGTCAAATATAATTTAAAACATTTTACTAACTGAACAATCAACAATTAATAACAATGTTTAACCAAGTACCTGTTTAAAAAATAGATGTATTATCTAAAGAATAGGGTGGCACAGTGGTTAGCATACTTTTTGTATCTTTTTTCAAAAATACAACAGTAGCACCAAATGTCTCAGTGGCTTTCAAAATTAAATTATGCATGCAAATCTTTTAATTTAAAAGATGACCATCCATTTCTAATGGTAGCACAGAGGTTAGCATTGCAGTGCTGAGGCCCTAGGTTCAATTCCTGGGGTAATGTATGTGTGGAAGTTGCACATTCTCTCTGGGTTCACATGGGTTTCCTCAGGTGATCTGATTTCCTGTTGTGGTCCAAACATTCTGGCAGGTTTAATGGATTGTGGATAAATTGGCAATGTGTTTGTGCATATGCCCTCTGATACTGGATAAAGAGAATTGAAAATAGATGGAACTAAAAACACCATGTAACTACACAGTGATAGAAACCCACTATGAAATGGCAGCAATTACTCACTGAGGATATGTGTTGGCTTAAGGAAACAGCCTTTCCACCTCTCTAGCACATCAGTATCTATAGGTTAGTTAGTTAGTTGCACTAAATATAAACATCTTAAGTTAAGATGCTGGCTCCATGGATCAGCATTTTGCCTATTCCTTCTATTTATGTGCATCCAACAAACAGTTCAATGCTAGCAACGACACAACATCTAAAATACATTTACGTTTAATATGTTTTGATTATAAAACAATTAAAATACGTTGAATCTTATTTCAGTATCTAAGTAAACATTCAACATTTATTTACATCTCTAACATTTTAATGTCCTAAATTTTAATTTGTCTTAATTATTATTTTTTTAAAATTTTAGCTTCAGCCTTGACAAGCTTAAGTTTTTCTTTATCTTTTGTTACTTGTCTTACAGAGCTTTTTAATTGTGAAGGTTTCAGAATCTTTAAATTAATCTATGTATATTTTAAACTGTTATTACAGATTATTGCACTTGACATAATTAAATTCACCCCTTCTTGAATGTCTATGACAAGCAGAGCTAGTGCTGTCTCTGGTGAAATCTTCTGCAGCTGAAATTTCACTGGTTTAATGAACAAGAAATCAGATTGCTCAAATTTCTAATTACTTATTCTAGGTAAACAAAGTAGTTTCTCTCTGAAAATGTTTTTCTTGTTCTTTTTGGAGACCTTGATCCTTGATCGAAATTGATTTCAAATGTCAAAAAGCATTTATTTTCATTTATATTTAGGCTCAGATTTCAACAATAAATTTTACACTAATTACTCTCAGCAAATCCTGATGTTTTGCTTCCCCTTACCACAAAAATATATTAATGTATTGTAGCTAGGATTCACTTTTTTCTCTCTCTCCCTACCTTCTCTCACCTGCTGAGCTCAGGAGGGATTATTTTGTGCTAGCCAACTAGCGCATAATCACCTCACACTAGGGGGAAGGAAAAGTGCTGATGGGCTTTTAGTTCACTCTCCATCACTCTTCTCAATCCCCAACCCCTGGACAGACAAAGGTGATAAAAACTCATTCAAAAGGGTGCTGTATGTTAACACAAACTCTGCTAACAGAGCTGGAGGTGACTTACTGCTCAATGAATTAAAGCTACAGTACAGCCAGATTTTAAATTCTTCAAGCAAAATGTACCCTTTGTGAAGTAGTTTTCACAACCACCAGGCAGTCAAGACCAACTCGTAAGCAAGCTAATCAGCCCCAGCAGCGGGTGATTATTAACAAACGCCGCCGCACGAGTTAAACCACCTGCGCACACTCACCGTGCAGTGCGCACTGCTATTTATACCATCTTCACCTGCTTCCCGCTGCTTGGTATTGAGTCTACTCCTTGAGAGCTCTACCTGGCGTTTTTCCCCCGTACCTCGTTTATTCTGGTTTTTGGATTCCCCTTCTGCCTTTTCGACTTTGCACCTCGCTTCTTGCCTCGGACTGTTTGCTACCGGAGATCTTCCTGGATTACGATTTGTCTTTCGCCTTTTGACTACGACCTTGCATCTCGTTTTGGTTTGTCCGCCTGCCTCATCTGTTACCCGTGCCTGCGTCTGCACAGGATCCTTGTATCTTCCCACCAGGAGTTCCTAACAGTAGTGCTCTGCTTGCAAAGAAGCTGATTTGTTGGCATCAGCTATTTTGCAAGCAATACACAACCTCTCAAAAGGTACCCCTTTCTTTTTTGCAAACTCAACAAAAGTTTATTTTTTAGAATTCTTGAAATTTGGACAGTATGCCTCAGGGACTGATTCATAGTTTAATCAAAACAAAGCCCCACTGGGTCTCATCCCGTTCTATACAAGCGAATCCCATGAATTCAGATCCACAGACAGTAGCGTACACGTGTGATCGTATACCGTATAAATAAACTGTATATACAGGAACAAGTAATAGGTTTATTCCATGCTGAAAAGAGAAGAAAAAATGTTTTGGTCGTGGAGCCTTCTTCAGGTGTGAGCTCACAAGTGTGCAAAATGTTTACAGATGCTGGTATGGGAACTGGATGGAGACAGATATATATATAAATATTTGCATTTGCAGTTTATTACAGAAAAGCCACCTTTACTACTCTGCATTCTCTCCCGCTCAATTCCTCATCTCCCCATCCTAGTCACATTCCCCACGTGAACTTATCCAGTAACTGAACCATAGAACACACAACTCAAAACATTTAAAACTGCTCAACTGAAAAAAACTACAACAGGAACTAACCTTACATCCCTATTGTGTGGTATTAAATTTTTTACAACAATAACGGCAAGTGCTCTTACTACGTATTCTTCAAAAGGGATAAAACATTATAGCTTTTTATGAAGTATATAAATGTTATATAGTTTAAACAAGCACAAGAAAACTTTCCAAATATAACCACTGCAAGATACAGAGTTAAAGACCTGGATGCAAAACATGGTAGAATACTGTGTATACTTTGTATTTTTTATATTTAGCTACCACTACTATCTACTGT